TAATGGGAACTCTGCGTTCTAAATGCAGAGGAATTCTCCTATTGTTCAGAAAGCACCCCCTTTTCATTAGCAAATCTGGCTGTAGGTGGGTTTTGTAATTTAGCTGAGCAGAGTTTAGAGCACAGTTTCTCCAGGAGGAAAGCAGAGGTTAGCAATTTAAGGTTTACTGTGTATTGGCCATTAGTTCCGAGAAAAGGATTTAGATGATCAAAGTTAGTGGCCTTGTGAATTACTGAGAGAACTTTAAATACTAAGCAGAGCGGCAGGTATGTATTTCTGTGAACTCAGCTGATAGCACTGGTAGAGGTTTGTTTTTTCTTCATGTCTTAAAGCTATGCAGATGTGTGCCGAATATATATGCATTTTTTGGTTTTTAGCTTTTGCATAAGAGAAGGAAGTGCACTGTACGATTTGCATTGTGATTGCTTTTCTAAAGAGAATTGAAGTCTGTTATAGAGACTGTGGAATAATGTTGGTTCTGAGGCAGTCCTTGTGATTTTTCTTTTTAGCTATGACTTTGAAACTTCGTTATAACTCTCATAGAAGGTCCCTGGGGGTAGAGGTTTTTTATTTTTCAGTACTGAAGATGCTGTAACCTCTAATGGATGCATGTTCCGTCATATGTTACATACAATCAGTAAGTCACCCCTGTAATCTTTAATTCCACATCAAGGTATAATGATTTAATCTACCTAACCTGATAGCAGACATGGTCACAAAGACTGTAAACAGCTCAACTATGGAAATATATGTTAAGGTTTCTCTCTGTGTTGCTCGTCAGTTCAAAGATTTAGTATTTGTTTTAACTGGAGTGAAATACACTCTTGTTTATGGAATTGTGATCAGAGGGCTGATGTCATTGTTTAGTACTGATTAATACTGAAATTATGTAAGGAGACTGATAACTATAAATGTGCAGTTTATTTAAAAATGTTGATTAAGTAACAGAAAAGATGTTATGACACTTATTCCTGTGCTGGTTTTGTTTTTTACTTTGGTTATGTGATGGAAGGTTTAAAAATCTACTTTAGTTCTGCTGAGTCTTTTAAGACTGGAGGTTGCAACAGCAAAACTCCTCAGTGCAGGGCTGTGGGAAGAAGGGGAAGGGTGAGATGCTACACTGCAGAACCCATTTTGTATCTGCTGAAAATTATTTAATGATCATGAATGCTGTCTTGGTCTCAGTGTAATGTACATACCCGTGACTATCCTGGCAACTGTTTTTGTGTGTGTGCTGGACACAATGATGCTGTGGTATACTGTGATATACTGCAGTATGGGTAGAGCTTGCTTCAAGTAGCAAAGGTTAAATGGAAAGCCACAGACAGGGCTAGAATAGTTTTAGGCAGTTGCATCTGGCTTAATTTGCTGTATTAACCCCTTCTTTATCAGTTAGTTTTACCCACTAGGGAGATTGCACCCTGAATGATCCTTTCATGGTTCTGGGAAGGGCAGAGTTACTTCATGTGCATCCCTGTATCATTGCTGGAAAACAGAACAGAATTACTACTCTGTTTTCCTCTGCAAAGGTCCAAAAAACTTTTCGTGTGCATATTGGTGCCAGCCGGGTGTGCGTCTTCACACTTGCACGTGTGTTTATGCCTGGCTGAAATGGTCTCACGAGTGCAATTGCTGAGTGGATACGTGTAAAAATACTTTATAGCAGCATTGTTTATCCATTTGTGTCAGAGTTGAGAGATACCAATATGAAAACATTTATACCAGTCCTCTCAGATGGAAGGGGCTGAGATTTTCTGTCTGGTGTAACTGTCCTTGTGCAACTTTTTATTTGTAGATAAGGCCTTAGGAGGAGAACGTGTTAGATGTATAGGCTTTCTTCAGGATGCATATGCTGTTTGTGCAGATTTGCCAAATGGGAAGGTAAACATGCTTGTCTCCGGACTAATTAGAGAATTATTAGATTTTCATGCTCCTTGTGATCAGATTATTTCAAAAGGTTTTTAAATTGCATGTGTGCCATGAGCATAATTAACCTGGATTTCATCAATGATTAAAATTACACACCAAGCTTTGTGACGTTTGATTCAGGAGCAATTAGGCTGTCATTTTAGCCATCTCAGATACCAAAACTAATTTTGATTCATTTTCATTCTATGCAAATCTTCTGATGTGTCTTAAACTGATCACTTCCTCTCTCTGATTTAGCTGACAAGATTAGATTTGATTACACTTAAAAAAAATTAAGCAGCTATCCTTCATACTTAATATCTCAGTGACCTTCACTGAAGCCTTTCCTAGGCAAAGATTATTTTTTTTTTAATCCCAAAATCACACTGAGTAATTTCCTGAAGGGATATAACACCTGGCTATTATGTATGTAAATATATGTTGTCTAAAAATGCAAAATTTTAAAATCAGATTTAATTTTCTTCTAAATGAGAAGATGGAGAAAACATTAATGCTTGGGATACCTAAGCCAATAGTTTTCAGGATGTAATCAAAATTTTATACTTAATTGAAAACTTATCTGATAAATTGG